TCGGAAGAAAAGGGTTACAACTCGAAAAAACTACTTTTGCATGAGAAGGGTTTTAAGTTTTTTTAGGACTTATTTTTTTTATTTCCTAATCATTAATTAATAGAATTTTTTGCTTTTTATTTAAATAAGTAGGCTAAGTCGGGTTTGATTAAATGACATAATTGTGATTTTTCAAACTGTTTATTTATTGTTATAAAAAAAATACATGCAACGGTTTTGAATTAAAAATTAGTAAATGTGTGTAATCTGTAACATTATTAATATAATTGATAATTATTGAATACACACCTAAAATCATAAAAGGAATTAAATTAAATCATTACAAATTATTGTAAAAATCAAGATAATATGGCGGAAAGCATTTTTTCTGTCCGACTAATGATATCAAATGTGTTTTTTTTCGTCTGATATTCCTGGTTTCGTGGAATATGCGTTTTTTATTTGGATCTATATTAACAATTTTTCTCGATCTAATAACTTCCGCTTGGCAGAAATCTGTATCTTCAAAAGAATTTTTATAAAATAATTTGTTTGGAATTTGTTTTGTAATTTGGTTACTCTAAATGACGCAGTTTTTACATTTTTAGGGATATTCACAAACAAGTCAGAAGTTAATTTTTTTAAAGCCATAATGTCTTTAAAACAAAGTTCGTTTACTTTGTATGTTTTTCCAGTTTTTGTTGCTGATCTCATAATGCATGCATACTGATCGGGAACGTAAATACGGCTTGATTTTTTGTATAATTTATTTTAAGCCAACATAACTTTTGTCACTATTTTACTACTCAACTGTTTTGCTATATATTTTTGCCATAAGCCCTAATTTCTTAATCCTTTTTTTTCTGTTTTATACGGATCAAGAAATTTTCTGTTTTTTTGACAACTTAATTTTTTCTAATTCTCTACTTGAACCAATATTATCAGAATCTGATTACGATTTAATATAGTATGGATCCTTAACACCGTCATCAGATCCAAACGGTTCATTTTAAGAATCTAATAAGTCACTACTACTTGTTGAAGAATTTGACGAAGAGTTCGATGACGAAGATGAACAGCTAGTAGATGAAGCAAATGAATAATTTTTTGTTTTTTCTATAACCAAATTCTGGACATCTAAAACCAAAATTAAGTTAATAGAAAAAATATCACTTCAAAACTTCAATTTATCTGTAACATTCTGGTTTGTATTAGACACGATTGGAATATGTAAAGTTTCTTGCTCTTTTTTCTTTGAGAGAATAGCATCTTTATTGACTAAGCGATTTTCACTATTTTTCAATATATCAAGTTCTTCGATCTCATAGTGCAGTATTTCTGGTATGTCTTCAAAGTAAAATAAGTCAATAAGGAAATATAATGTAATAATATAAATTTACCTGATAATTTCTGACTGTTAGAATCAGTATTGGCCGAGAAATTGTTACTGAACTTTAATGGATCAATTTCTTTGATCCCATATTGACACCCGGCAAGTATCCTTTGGGTTCGGTTTGTGTATGCCATATTTAAGACTACGTGATGATAGAAATTGAATAAGTTCGCTAAAAATTCTTAATTTGGCAACAAACATTGTCGTTTGTTAGACCAAAATTTAAAAAATCATTAGGTCAAAAATGCAACACCCTTGGAAACTGTATTCAAAACTCCTTTGTTAACTAAACTGGTTAATTTTGTCAAAAAAACCGTCACAGCTTTTTTTTATAATTAATCGAACTTTTAATCGGGATACACAAACAATTTTTAAATCATATTATATCTGGATTTGCAACAAAACCAAGTATTTAATATTTTTTTCGTGCACGTAAATAATTGAAGGTCTAATATATTATCGTAAAAAATTACAAAAAGTATTAAGAAAAGTGATACATTATGACATTAACCAAAGACTGTGAATAAACTTAACACAAAAGTTTATTCAAACGTGTAACATGTCGTTATTTTACAGTGATTATTAAAAAATTAATCAAGAAAAACGCTACATTTTGACATAAGACATAGTATGTGAATAAATTTACTGAACAAGTTGGTTCAAATTTGTTACAAAACAAAATGTTGCGGCATTGTTACAAACGTAAAACAGTTAATTTAATCCAAGATTGTAACATTCTGGGATGTATCTGTTTTGTTGTAAAATTTACATGTATTTACTACTTACTTTTTGCACCAATATCGAATGTAACCTTTTTTTTATTAAATTTTTTAACTGCCACACCACAATATCGGTGACAAATTGAGATATAACGATTTTGTAGAAAATATTCTGTGAAAAATGCAAAAACCCCTGTGTTACATGCTGACATCTTTTGGCTGGTAGTAAATATTCTCTCGAAACTTAATCCGTTCCTAGTAGTAGGCACCTTTTTAGACAGTTTAATGAAATAAAGTGAGAAATGAACATTTTTGAGATGTAACCCTTTTCATCCGAACGATCGTTTTGCTTTTGCGATATCGCCAATTTTCTTAGTGATATGGTGGGTGGTGTTCTTGGTATAACTGGAAATTAAGGCTGTATATAGGTAGCTCCCTCTCTCTTGTCGTTGCCCAATTACTGAGGATGTGACGTTAGTTATACTAGACCCGATATAGACAAAACTGTCCACTATCTGGTATTCCTGTAAGTTGAAAAATATAGAATCTGTCGACCACCATTATTTTTGTCTCATCTTTATTGCTTTTCAGACTAACTTTATTGCTTTTATACTCAACTCTTCGCTTATTTGCTGCTATACCTGTAGTGTCATCAGCAAATCTTAGATTGGAGATTTTCCTACCAGCCACTGTTAGTCCACTGGCCCATCCATCTTAAGCCCTCCTCATGACATGTTCACCATAAATGTTAAATAAGTCAGGTGACAATACGCATCCTTGTCTAACACCTCTTTCGGTCATGAATTGGTTTGAGAACTTCTGATCTAGTGTCACCAGGTGCATTGGTGTGCCCATTTCTATTAAAATGGACCACAGATTTATCCAGCGTACACAATGAAATGCATTTTGGTAGTCAACAAAGCATATAATTATAGGTACGTGAAATTCTCTAGACTTTTCAGTGAGTTTTCTCAGCATTAGAATTTGTTCCCGTGTACTTTTACCCTTTACAAACCCCGCTTTGGTATTTAATCTGTTTTTAATGATATGCAACAAGATTGTAATAGCATGTGTTATTAGTGACAGTGCGCGATAGTTTTTAAAATCTGGTAGTAGTTTCTTTTTTGTGTAGCGGGATATAAATTAAGGGTACATCAATCAGATGGTCATTTTCCTGAAATCCAAACAGCGACACAGATAGAATGGATGATATGTAATTCGTTGTTACCTAGTAACTGTAGTATTTTACCCGGTATTGTATGCTAGGGGATTTATTTCTCTTTAGCAATTTAATTGCATCTATGACTTCAGCGACTAAGACAGTAAGTTTTCTAGGGTATTTAGACGGCCATTGCTTTTCTGCTGATACCTCGTTATTTTTATATAGCTCACCACAGTAGTTTCGCCATGTTTTCAATATTTCGTCAGTATCGGTCTTTAGATTACCTTCATTCTCAGGTAAGCAGTTTGATCTTCTAAAATAAATAAATCGATGCATTTCGATAGCCATGTTCCTCTATAAAATCCACAAGGAAAACAATTCCTGTAGCTGGCTGTATACCACGTATCACAAAAAAGAGGTTAGTCTTCGTAAATGGGTATATTTATTTAAAAAACCCTTAAAAGGGCTACATCAAAAAAACAAACGTTTACAAAATACCAGGGTAAAAACCCTTTAAATTACATGTAGTTATTAAAGATTGTACATATTGTTGTTGTTCAAATGTGATGTTAAATATTAAATTGAATTTGACTTCAGGTAACATGCTTGAAGTGAGTTCCAGTGTCCGGAGAGTAAACCTCTTCAAACGGACTACAGCTGGTAACTGAAACCCATATTAGAGCATATATTAGATAGCCTGGAGTTTTAGGTTATTTAAAAAAAAGCAGGATCGCTGGATGACAGAGGAGGGTCTGGTTTAGCAGGTGAGCGTTCTACGTACATTCTGGCGTTGATGAGCGGGCGTTTTAAAGTACCTCGCGAACTATCGCTGGGACTGCGAAGAACCAATCCTGCGCTAAGGTCAGTCAGGCTTTTCTTTCAGTCATGTCTTTTAAAGATTTCAGACCCCCCTCTATAAAGACGTAAAAAAGGTAATTATCATTCGAAATCAGTCAGAAGTCATTACTCGAGGAGATTTTGGGGTTGCTTAACACAAATATTACCACGGCGATGTATTAACTTATAGATAATACTTAAAGTATAAGTATGCCAATTATGTTAATACTTCAAGTCAACTAAAAGCTCGTAATTAATAGATAAATTTACGCCTTTTCTTCAATTTTACTATGGTTTGCTTCACGTTTTATATTTAGTATATAATAAATGGAGAAATATAACAGTGTTTTCTATTGTTGCTTGATATAGCTATTGTAACCACTTCTGGTTGTGTTTATTTTTTGTGTCTGAAGGTGAAGTACGCAAGTTGAATCTGTGTTTCTATTATTTTAAGCCCTTTTGTGTTTTGCCATCCGTTTGTTAAAGGTTATACCCGTTTGACCGATGTATGTTTTTGGGCAGTCGTTGCATGTAAGCTTCTATACCCCACTGAATCCAATTCCCAATGTTTTTGATCACAAGATTTCCTGACACTTTTACGAATCGAATACGAGAAGTTTCATTGAGATTCATCTAACTGGAAAAATTTATTAGGTCTTCATTGCCTCGCCTAATTTTATGGCAAAACTACACATGTTTTTACTTGTTATTTTCAATATTGTTTTTTTTTTATTTAAATCAGCTGAATATTCTAAGATTTTACATAGTACAAAGGATAGAGCTTTTTATACAGCTTTATAATCTTATTATTGATACAACAGATAAGCAATATTTTTGATCACCACTTTAGCTTCTATTATTAAAATATAATTAAAATCCAGCCATTAATATATTATATTTTTTGTTACAGGCATCCTCAATAAAAAACTAGAAGTAGCAAGGCCGAAACGCATTAGCGAACTACCTGATAAATTGCTGATGTCAGGAATAAATTTACCTGGTAAGTGAAATATTTTTGCTAGTTTTTTTTTATCTCACCGAACGTCGTTTAAGGTGAATTTGTTAATTTGATATTGACATTAAATCAACTCTAAAATTTATACGGAAGATACTGTGATATATAATTATTATTAATGACATTTATGTAAATAACATTTCTATAAATGCTATTAATAAATCTGAGATGCATAATCACTACGAACTATAATTGAACAGTTTTCGTCATTAGGCGAACAGTTGATTTTACAAAAAAAACTATTAAAAAATAATATAAGTATTGATTAACGTATGGTTTTAAAAATCTATCAGAAGCTAAAAATTATGATTCTGGCAATAATTAAGAAATGTATGTTGGTATGCTTCACCTTTAACTAAGGTAGGTACTGTTTGACCACTTTCTAATTTTGTCTATACAACTATACAAAGAAGAAAAACTACCAAAAAAAACTTAATGACTATAGCACAATGGATAAGAAAATATGGAGTTAGGACTATGGGTAGGGGATACTCGATTCTATTCTGCGTATTTGTATAATGTAATATACTTAATTTAAATAATATAAATATGTATAATTTTAACGCAATTTAAGACGTTTTCACTTTTGACGGCACTCCCCAGAATGTTTCTACTATACCCTGTATATATTTTTTTTGATGGTACGCTATATACATTATATGTACTAAACTTCTCACTTATATGCAAGGATTCGGCTAGTTGTTTATTTTATATTCACTCAGATACTTTCTTTTAGTCACTAAATCAAAATTTGTCTTATAAGAAATCCAATTTGATTCATAGTGCCATCTGATATCTCGTATGTAACTATACGTCAATTAACAACGAAGATGCTGTGTAGTGGCCTTTTGGTAGCCATCTTGTTTGTTTTTTCTATCTTAATGTATTCATTATATCTTCCCCTTTGATTTGCTATGTCGCATGTTATGATTCAATCAGTTGTGTATTTTCTACTGTCAGAGACCTTCTTTCATATCAATAAAAATGGAAGTATGATGTAGTGCCCTTTTGGCAATGCCGTTATGTTTGTTTCTTTCGTCAGTGTACTAGTAAATACATTGTACCCTCTCCCTTTTTTAAAAGACTTATACGTCACTATCTGTCAAGCCGTTCTCGATTTGTGCGACTTTGCGAGTGACCATCGAAAAAATATGTCGCGTATTCAATGCTTTTTCCCCTTTCAAAAAGTGCACAACATCGCTTAAGAAGTTTTCACAAAGATATTTTTTGTCATAAAAAGTTTTACATGTGGTTTATTTAGGGGTTGTTAAATTACTACCCTACCCTCAAGCCAGGTTTGCATTTCTGTGTTAGGATATTACGGAAGAAGTATCTGAAGAGTTTCCAGAACGCCTTAAATAACTACCCAAAAATGTGTACCAGCTCTTCTACTAGTATGTTTGACACAAATTTCATGCAGTAAGTGTCAGGTCCAAACGAACCTTTATACTGGCCTCCTTACAGTGAAGTATTTCTTATTAATGTTGGAGAAATATCAAAAGTTCAGATTTACAGTGCTGAAAAACGATGCAAGTCAAAGAGATATGGCAAGACAATTTAATGTTAGACATTCAACTGTGTATAGAACTTACCAACGATTTCTTGAGAACGGATTGAGACCTATTGCTGCATTGCGAGCGTGATCACAATCTGCTAGAATGCTTTAAAGCCATATTAGGCAAGATCAAGGACCAGCAATCAGCGTTTCTGCTGTTTGACGAAGGTTAAGAGAATAAAATGAGATAAAAACTAGAAAGATGGAATACTTGGGGTACATTGTGAGAGCTGACAAGTACGAACTTTTAAGAAACATCATGCAGGACAAAATTAAGGGCAAAATAAGTGTGGGAAGAAGAAAAATATCGTGGCTTCGTAATCTACGTGAATGGTTCGGGTGTAGTTCGATTGAACTTTTCAGGTGCGCTGCTAACAAAGTCGCAGTGGCCATGATGATTTCCAATCTCCGCTAGGAGTGGCACGAGAAGAAGAAGAGGACAGAATTTGACAACTTATAGAGTATTAGGGCCAATACGTACTGCTGGTTACCAAAGACGCAAACTTGCATTTGTCCATGAACACGCCAATTGGACAATAGTCAATTGAGAAAAAAGAAAAAAGACTGTTTACGGATGAGTGTTTAATATCAATTTATGGAAAATATAGTCTAAATAAGGTCTATAGAAGAACTGGAGAACGTTATGCTGCCTGCACTCAGTCACACCGTCTTAGTTTTGGTGGTAGCGTAGTAATGTTTTATGCAGGTATTTGTTTTGAGGCACACAGATGATTATTGGGACATGCGTATTAACAGCAAATAGATACATAATAGAGATCCTACAATATCATATAATGTTATAAGCTGGGTTTATTAGCAATGATTTTCCGATAAAACGTGATCACGTACGGCATGGATTGTAACAAAGTGTCTTTGAAGAGGTTTATATTTCAAAAATTAACTAGCCTGCTTAAAGTCCGGGCCTTAGTCCTATTGAGCAAATGTATGTGGAGCCTGCTAAAGTCCGGACCTTAGTCCTATTGAGCATATTTATATGGAGCCTGGTCAAAAAGCGTGTAAGACATCGCATCGCATACCTGCTTCAACAACTTATATCATATAATGTTATAAGCTGGGTTTATTAGCAATGATTTTCTGATAAAACGTGATCACGCATACCTGCTCCAACAACTTAAAATCAAAATTTCTATTAGACTATTAAGATTATGTTTTTATTACCTTACTATACGGTATAGCTTATACTCTTAAAAAATACAAAAATACATTGAAATTACTCTAGTTCAACTGAACAAAGTACCTGAAATACTTATTACTATTAAAAAGACAATGTGAGAGTATTTGGGTCATCTAGCAAGGGGACACAAATACAGACTTCAAAATTAGAATAGTCTTCATAACATTTAATTTTTGATAGAGGAGGAACATCAAGAAGAAGAAATTTTAAACGAAAACGACATAACTATTTATTATTACATTCATTTCAGTATTTTGCATTCATCTGATTTCCATTTCTGCTCTATATAACATTGCAATTTGTTAAATTCTTATTTATTTCTCGAATAACCCATATATTCTCTAATAAAAAAATGAGTTAACTACATGCTAAACAGTTTTTTCATTATAAAATAAGCTTTCTACTTTCGTTTTTATTTGCATTTAAGTTACATTAAACCAAAAAGAATGAAATGTTTTTTGGCCAAACCAGTAGGTGCAGACATAAGAAAACTACTTAATTCAATAAGCGTTTGTATCTTTAAATGACTAACTGAAAATTTATCGGCAATTTCGAGTCAAAAAAGTTGAGAAGATCGACTTTTAAACTCACACCAAACATAGAATTCAGAAAGATTTATGGTATTCTCACTCATTATCTTTGTGATCTAAATGGTCATGCTAGGTGCTTGAAGACTGCTTGTTAAATTCTTATAGCTGGCGTTAATATCCCGGAAGGCCAAGTAATTACATTAATTATTCCAATTATTTGTTTAACTGCAAAAAACAACATTAAAAATTGGTTAAAACAAAAAGAAAAACATCATCAAACCATTTGATCTAAATTTATCAATAACCTCATTTTATTTAAAGATATAACATAAATTTAGTTAATATAGGAGAAGATGTAACATATTAAAAGTTGTAATATAATATCAGGAGTACTAAGTATTGTTAAAATCAGTGGCAATAAGTGGAAAAGCAAATTGTAATTTTTATTACTTATTATTCTACAGACTTATTATCTACAGAAACTCAACTATAAACGAAATCCATCTGTATCTGCCATTCAGATTGACTTACCAAAACGTTTATTTATCGTTTTTAGCTTTGGTTTACACTTGTGATAACAAAATACCTACGGTAGCTATATAAACAAAAACACGCTGCTCTCCTATTTACTAGTATAATTGCAACTTTATCCCCGACAATTAACTCTTCTCTTACAATTGAACGTTGAATACATTGATCCCAATCGCACAAAAAATGTCTCTTTTCATCGACTATATCTCACTTTGTATTATATCTGTGTAATCATGTATCATTCTTCTTTTATAAGCATATTTATTATGGTAATCATCAAAAACCTTTAAAAAACGTGACTTTTTTCAATAAAAATTCGCTGTTTTCAACCATAAATAGCTTAAACAGTATTGACTTACCGAAAAAACTTTGGAGAATAAAAGTTTTTTTTATAATTTAATTCTCTATCGATCCCTGCGATTATTTTGAGCATAAGAATTTCCACTCCCCAAAAGGGGTTGCAACCACGTCTGGGGTAAAAGCACATATCGGCGTCATATAGGTTTTGTCATTTAAGCACTTTCCCATCAACTCACCAAATTTTAAGTGAATCGATTCAGTCCGACAAAATTATAAGGAGAATAGGCCGAGTGACTGAAGTAAGTAGCATTTCTCATCCGCTGACTTAAAACTGACAACACTTGGCATTGATTCAATTCGAACATGTATTGAATAATCGCACAAACATCACTGACACCATGCTTGAGGAATCCACTTTTTAAATAAGCTCATATGATTATACCAGAAGTAATCGTCACTGAAATATCTAATATAGTAATACCAGTTCATCATTCATCATCAATCGGCCCTGAGTTGTCCATTTTTGAACATAGGCTTGCTCTAGACTTTTCCATCTGCTTGTGTTCTGCGCCTCTGCTATTCAATTGGTCACGATTCTTTGAGGTCGTCGCTCCATCGCGTTGGGGTTCTTCCTCGGCTTCACTTGTCACCATGATCTCCACTCAAGCAATTTGTTTGTCCAACTGTCGTCTTTCATTCTTGCAACATGTCCTGCCCATCTCCATTTTTACCTTGTAATATGTTCGATAATGTCTTCCACTCCGTTCGTCTACGAACTTCCTCGTTTTTTATTCTATTTCTTAAGCTTATTCCAAGTATTGATCTCTCCATCTTTCGTTGTGTCCTTCTCAATTTTTCAGCTGATGTTTTTGTG